TTAAAAATTTAACAGACGTTCAAATGGAACATTGCGATCTTGTAGAGCAGGATAATTATTCACAAAAAGTTGATGTAAGTTTTTGTTGATAATAATTTTAATTATTACCATAATTATAATATTTTAATGCTTATTTTTAGGAAACACAAAATGTTACTGACCCAGGACCACCGCGCGAATTAGAATTTCTTGATGTTTATCATGAACCAAACCACAAAATTACATATTCAATTGAGCATATACAAGGAGCAAATAATGGTGAATTTATATTGACAGGCGAAAACGGAACATTTGCTTTAGCTCAAAATCAAGATATAGACACTGGTAATGGCGAAAGTGCTGAAAAAATAGACACCGAAGAGGACGTAGAAAGCAATATAATTGAGGAATATAATAACACAGAAAATCCAATAATTTCAACAAAAATACATAACATTCCAAGAGGTTCAGCAAGCATAGAAAGTCAGTCGTCGGTAGTGCAAATCATACCCAAAGGAAAAATGTACAAAATGAAAACCGATGCAGATCCAATACAAATGGAACAAACAGTAGTATCAACAACAGACTCTGTGGAAGATAAAACGATTGCAAAAACTGAGGTGCGTCGTTCAGCGGAAAGCCTAATAGATTTAGCTGTTCAGGCGGTAATTGAAGAAGGTATGAGTCTACAAAAAGCAGCTGTAAAATACGAATTATCAAAAACTGTACTTTGGCGACGAGTGCGTCTACATCCAAATTATATGAAAACTGCACGAGAGAATCCGCAAATAAAATTAGTACATGAGAGGCTTAAAACGGGCGAGTCATTGAAGAGTATTAGTCACGATTTAGACATACCAATGTCAACATTGCACAGATACAAAGTACGCTTGTCTCAGCAAGGAAGATTACCTGATTTTATTGTATGTAAAAAACGAGATCCTGGCACACGAGAGGAATTAAGAGAGAAACTTGCCAAAGCGGTCTATGCATGCATTCATCAAGGTGTTTCACAGAATCATGCCGCAAATTTGTTTGACATACCGAAGAGTACATTATGGCGGCATTTACAGAAACGAGCTCTGAAGTTAGAACAGGATCAGAATGATTCATCAGATGTTAAGGAGGAAATTATATTGTCATAAAATGAATAATATATAGTTTTATTATGCTAATATGTACATTACATATAAAGCTATTGCCAAAAATATTTTGTTATTTTATTATAATGAAAAATGATATTGTACATTTTATATAATATAGTAATCAGCGATTAAAAATTAAATATAAAAGTGGTTTATACCAAAAAAAAAATATATTTTTTGCAATAGTTGCTTTGGAGTTTCCATATTTTAACTCTCGATGTCAGTGTAATTTATTTTTTAATGTAGTTTAATGTTATTTTAAATAAATATCTAAATAATTTTCAACAAAATATTTTGTAATTTATTTTCACTATTATTTAAAAAAATTAATTTGAACTAATTCGATTAATAAAGCCAAATTTATTTAATAAAATTGTTAAGAAAAATGTTAAATATTTTTCAAATTTTTTCAAACGATACCGAGGCTATGAAGATAAATTGTTCAAAATTTTGAAAATTTAAAAAACTTAATAATATGAAAAAACAGTCATCGGTGGCTATCATGTGTAAAACAATCTACAGAAAAAAAAAGATAAAACATCTTTACTAAAATTATCCCAAATTACTTTTGAACTTTTCAAACTTTAGTTATGAAAATTTTAACAATCAAATACTATAAACAGATACTAATCAGAACAATGATTTTGGAATGTTGGTATTTATCAGAATTTCGAGTAGGGTAAATTAGATAAAAATTAGATAAATTAGGTATTACCATCGTGAAAATTTTAAAATATGTTTAATAAATAAATTTAAATACTTTTAACCAAAAATAATAAATAAGTTCAATAAATGAATAAATAAATATTTACATAAATGCAGTGCAAAAAATTCCTAGGAAATTTCAATTTACTTTACCTCAATTTATTTGAATTCACACACGTCTACAAGCATGTTCTCCAATAAATCTAAGATCATCATATTAATATCGTAATAAACTAATATCGTAATAAGATATTAAAATCGTAATATCTTATGTTTGTTATATAAAAAACATTTTGTTTATTCTTATATATGATAAAAAATAAAAAATAATCAAAACAAGTAATATGTAATAATGTAATTGACGTCATAGTAATTACTTAATCATGTAAGACCTGGCAACTCTAAATGTATGTGTTATATATACAGAACATAATTACTCGTTAGAACAATAAATTTATTGTAAGACAAATTGTTCTCTAAAAATGTATGAAATTTCGCTAATGTATATTATGTGGTTCCGATATATATCGAAACCGAATTCTTCAAAATGAATAAATGCCACTCCATAATTTCCAACACCCAAAAAAATCTAAAACTGTATTGATATATGGGAAAGAATAAGATTTTTTACAGGCCATGATTTCAACTTAGATCTTTATTCTATATGCAGATATAGCTTAATTGTTTGTACAAACTAAAAATAATTTCAACACATTTATAAAATATTTATATAACAGTAAAGACATTGAACAAGTTTGTGTATTCAATTGGGTTATCAGACGCTGCTCGGTATTTAGTTGGTTTTCAAATTCTAACGTTGGCAAACCAATTTTTTTAATTCTTCAAAAACAAATTTTATCCTTTTTGGTAAAATTTGTTTTTTATTTTGTTGTCCTTTATTTTGTTGCTTTTATTTTGTTGTACAAAAAAGTAAGAAAAAAGCAAGTAAAATTGTATAAAATTTATTAAAAATTATAATTAAACTTAAGCCTTAACAAAAATTAATAATTTTTTTAGTGTTGGTAACTCTGCGCTTCCATATGTTTAAAGAGCCTTTACGAATTCGCTTGTTTTCGAAAACAAACTTTTGTTGTGTACCAATTAATTCTGGATTGCTAAAAAGTTCTTAAAGTCAGTTTTACAGAGGATATCCTGTTCTTTGCCATGAATCATTTAAAATGGATGGGTCATCTTACAACCATTGAAAATATATACAAATCGTTGGAGGGTGAAGGTGACGTAGTCATAACTTCCAATGGAAGCTACCTGCGTGCTCATCGGATTGTACTCGCATCGTCCAGTGAGATGCTACGTTCTGCACTACAGGATTTGCCTCTAGGAGAAGAAGCTACCATAGTGGTGCCCGACATAAGAATTGATGTACTTCAAAACATCTTACATTTTATATATAACGGAGAGTCTTGCATAATTGCTGAAAATTTATCAGAGTTTTTGCAAGCCATTAACGTGTTGGGCATTACATCGGAAGTAAGTTTCTTTCGGTCTCCCAAGGACGATACAGAAGCAAATGAAAACGAAGTAGAATTTGTAGGTGATAAAACAGCGGAGGATATTGTGAGTGCTTGTGTTATATTCCTATCTATTTTTGTTAATAAATTTTCATTTAAATTTAGCTTATTAATGAACCGTTTGGCGTTTGCATAGACTATGATGATAATTCACAAACTTCTGATAAATCTGAAAGTAAGCATATAAAACAAGATGAAGAAGAAAGTAAAATGACAAATTTAGAAGAAGAAATGAAACTA